GTTTCAAAAGTTTATTTCTCGGGCTTGGGACCTCACGAGTCTATTCCGGGAATACGCCCAAGTCCCATAGTTTTCCAACGGACCCTACGAGACCGTCGGATCATGGGTCTAGGGTCCGTTTAACAAGAATGTTGACCAAAGTCAAAGTTTTATTAAATTTTAAAAGCCAATTTCCATAGTTTTACTAGTTTTCACATAAAAGCTTCCCGGAACCACCCCCGGACTGCGCACACAAATCGAGGTGGGATTAAAAAGAGGTTTTTAAGGCCTCATGACACAATTGAAAGCTACACCTCAAGTGGTCAATGTTAATCCAAAATTATGGGACCAAAAGTGGGGTCTATATTTAAACAAATAAATCCATGGTTATTTAAGGCTTCTGGCCCAATAAGGATAATTTCACTAATATCAAACCACTATCTTGAGTTTTGGCACTTCCTATCCTAGTATTATATTTACTCACATATTCATTGTGTATGCATAAACGCGGACCTTATGTAAACGTAAAATGCTTTATGCACCAGATTGCTTTTTATTCATAGTGTATGCATGTCACCAATGCACCAAGTAGTACGGTGGAATCAATGCGATACTCCAATTTTAACAGGAAGACTTGGGGTTGAGCTATAGGAATAGAGAAACTCCTGATAGGAAGTGTTTTTCCAATTAGCAAATCCTAACTGGTTAAATTCAAATTAGTCGGATTAGTGAGTTTCGGATACTGAATGCTTAAAACACAAAAGAAAAAGAAGGTATAGTGTATATATGTGTGTCTATATCCATTTTATTCTTCATGTTCTTAGGGTCTTTTTTATATGACACTATTACTATTTAGAGAATCAGATAATTCTTTCTTCGATTATGATATCTCCCAAATAATTTTAGTATTCTTAATAAATTATGATTTATTATATTGTCAATGCCAAGTTTGCTTTGAGAATTGGATATTTTAATCTTCACATTCATCATTACTTAATTCCCATGAGTATAGATATCAGATAACATTGTCCACAAAGTTTGGATAGATATAAAGAAAATTACCTAATGTTTTGCTTTATTGAACCTGAGACTTCGTGATTCTATATCCACGTCATTAACCATTAGGCCAAACATTCCGTTATTCTTTTTCAAATAAATGTAAGTATATTTTATTTTATCGTTGAAGGAAGAAGCAATATTTTTTTCTTTTTCTCTGTTTTGATATTAGGTGGTCCATTTCAAGCTTTTATCCATAGAGACAAGAGGAGAGTTGAGCCATGAATTTGCATAGAAAGGGTCCAAATATTAGAGAGTAAGTCATTTCGTCATAAAGACCCCTTGTTTGGGTATTGTGACAGCTTGAATAGCCATACTATCCTCTCATGCTATCTTTGGATGCAGTAAAATGTAGTTTTTTTTTTCTTTCTGATTTCCAACCCTTTTTCGTCGCATTACCTCCACCTTAATTAGAATTTGTGGAGCGTAAGATCTATTAAAAAGGGAAGCGTTCCCCATCATAATTTTTTATTTCGCAGTAAAAAGGGTTGAATCATCCTAGTACCTGTATGGGTCGAAATCTGACCACGCGTGGATCAGCGTTAAAAGAAATAGCGAGGGGTCGACTGAGCCATGGTCGTATTCATAAGATGTCATAACAACGAGTATCTCGGCCGCTGCCGGGATAGAACTATCTTAAAGCTCGTGCGGCGAGGTATATGTCGTGATATTTAAGGGGAACGACCCAATGCACAATGAACAGACTAAGGCCCTCTGGCTAAGAACTGTTGGATAAAAGAGAATAATTGCTATATAAATAGGGAAAAGAGGACAAGAAAAGGGGGATTTGGTTCTGACAAAAAAAAGGAGACAGAAGAACCGGAGAAAGCTACCGGAGAAAAACAAGAAAGAGAAGTTGCAGATCTAGGCGGCAAACCTTTATAATCATCTTTCTTGAGTTAATAAAGATAGATCCAGCAACTATTAATGACATTTTCCTCTTTTCCACCTTTATTCTTGCATTATAGAACAATACACCATGAATGTAAGCATGTCATTTATATTTGATATTTTTTATAAGTATAAAAAATTCGTATGCTTGACCTTATCTTATTCTCCGGTTCAATGCGTTTCGATCTAGAGTTAATTATCCTTGGCTAGGATTTATCCTCTTTTTCTTATTAATTAGTTTAACAAGAAGCTCGACACTTTTTGGTCAAACAGTACCTTCTCTAAGGCTAATGTAGTAGTGAATACAGGGCACATACACTTTTTTAGAATCGAACTATATTTTCTAGAAAAATAATTGTTATACCTATTATTCCATTTTTATGGTCATAAAGAAATAGCGAATGGACTATTATTTCATATTCACTGATTTAAAATCTTATATTCACCTCTGATACAGTACCATTTCCTAGCATTAGTGAAGGGTTGGTATTTTTGCATATAACATCATCACCAAAATGTACTACAACATTGATTCAAGACAATTTTAGTCAACCCAACTTTAGATTTTCATATCAAAATGTTGATATGAACATAAGATGCAGTCTACACATGGAAATGTTCTAGTCAAGAGAAGTGAACAATTTGATCTCTGTGCTGCTTGTCAAAATGATCTAATACATAAGTTAGAAACCATAACTATCCAAATTGAGAACACGAAATTCACACTACTAACAACAATAAAAACACTCTCCGTGTAAAATAATTGTTTGTCCATTTGAAACTGTGATGAGATTAATCCTCGCGGAGTTCGTGAAACTGAAAACTTCAAATCAACAGCGTAGGAATACTTCCCGTATTTCCACTTGATGCCACCACCTCCTCTCTGACCCTGGATATCGTTAGTCTCACGTTTCTCTTCTTCACCAGAGACTCGCCCCAAAGTACCAGTACCTACATCAGATGATATTTTTGCAGTGATTCTTGCCATCATTGCACACCTGGAAACCATTGCCTCTGACTTCCTCGCATCCTGATATGCTCGGAGGCCATTGTGCAACTTCTTGACAGTACCCCACATCCCCTGACGAACACCTAATCGTACTACATCTTTTGGGATGCCCAAATCATCATACTGAACTAGTGTGATCTCACATGCAGATAGGTGTCCATCCCCTTTCTTTGGTTCCACTGTAACCATAGTTACAAGTGCACACTTAAAGTAAATCTTAAGCTATAGTGTCCTAGACAATTGGCAAAGTTGATATTTTTCGTTTTGTACATCCACTAGAAATGGCACCACATACGAGGCTTAACAACCCAGTTTGAAAAGTACAGGTCTACACGCCTAGGTTTGTCTCGCCTTTGAAAAGCTGGAGAGGGTGCACCCTGCAATAGATTTCATGTTACCGATGTACATATGATGGATGACTACATTGTTTCTGGAAACATAAACAATGACACATCATGGATGACTACATAGTTTCTAAAACTTATACATAATGACGATAAAATAAAAAAAGTGAACAAAGACATAGTTCACTTTGTATACCAATAGACTCTGGAAGATAAGAAGAAAATTAATTAATTCTAGGATAGAGATAAGCTTTTCTTGATAGACAAAACCACTAAGCACAACGTAGAGCAAAATCGATGAATATAGTTTTCCAAATATAGATGAAAAAATACAATTTCATAACAATCAGCACAACTTTCGTACCACAAAATTCATTATAAATTTGGTATCTTGGTCATGGATAATTCTAGAACTGACATAAGTATAACTTTTAAAATTGAAATGTGGATGTGTAAAGTATCAAACGTGTTGCACCTATTAAAATTCCATAAAACTTGTCATGATCACCCATCCTTCCAACTACATCAAAATAAACAGTAACTTAAAAACACACATATCACAAGTTCAGAACACTAAGCAAGCGTTTTCAAGTCAAATTGCAGCTCTCAAATGATTGTCCGGAAACAGTGAAACAGCAACGGGTTCCTCAGAGGAAGAAGGCAGAAATCATAAAATCAAACTCAAAACTCGTGAATTTAAAAGATTGTCTCCCTTTTTAATTTGGTAAAAAGGTACCGAAGATATATCCAAATGGCAACAACCCTTAAGAATATGGGTCAAGCAATTCTAGGAGCCAGGTGTCTTTACCATCTAGAAGTTGCAGAAAATGATCCAGATCTTTCTCCGATACAAAGTCCTGATCCTCTGACATTCCAGTAATGTACCTGCGGGAAGAGTCTAGCACGTGTAAGACTTTACAAAGGTTACAAGTTCATGACAATGATAATTTATGCTGGTCTAATAGAAACACATGAGCAGAATCGGAACTTTTCATTCAACAATCATCCAGAAAAACCTTATACGAAGGGCTCGGCCAGTAAGTTATGCTGGTATAATGGAAGCACTTAAAACAGAGAGGAAATTTATACTTCGATAACACGGTGAATGTGACACGAGGACATCCCAAGGGGTCACACATCCTAGTCCTACTCCAGAGACGCTGCACGTAACTTTTTCAGTTAATCAACTAACAACTATCTCTATACAAATCTAGAGAAGAATAAAAACACTTATTTCCAGCAGAACCCTAATTTAGAAATTAACCAGGGACTGCTAGATCTAGATATTCACATTCTAATATCCTTAAATAACTCGAAAATGAAGCCATCAGATTTTCAAAAAAAATCACTTGCTGCATTTAACACGAAGAGCAGCAAGGATGCCATATTTGACGGTCTACCATACTTATAACTTAATGCCAATAAAAGCATTCGCTGCATTTAAACACGAAAAGAAGCAAGGTGATACTTCAATTACAGAAACAAACATGCACCATAAATATTTATCAGCAAAAATATATTAGGAAACTTTGTGGACAATCAATGCACTCAATTTCCTCAGAATACTCACAAGCACTCGTACCAGAGATATACCAAGTAAACGAAATCTGATAGCAGATGTCAAAACAAAAATTTTATCTGATGAAGACACTGATAATTTGGAGCGAGTCTCTGGTGAAAAAGAGAAAGGTTAGACTACCATTATTCAGGGACAGAGGGAAGCCAGTGGAATTACTGGAAATAGGTTATGCAGTTCATATCCAGCAACTGACCGATATATAGAACAGTGAAATGAAGTGTGCATGCATCTGGAAGGAATACTGATGCAAGTGGCAGAGTTGTAACAGATGAAAAGGCAAGTGGCACTCCTCACGAGTGTTCCGGGCAAAGATCACGAGGATCGTGCTTTAAAGCATACATAAAAACGTTCTGATCTGCAGAGTAAGCCAAAATCTATTTCCTGGAAAATGACCATTGCATCCAACACGTAGTCAAAATCCAAAGCCAAAGGTAAAGCACCTACATTGTTCAATTTACTAGCTAAATATTAGGAGATAATGGTACTGATTGAACTGAAAGGGGGTGGGGGTGGTAGGAGGTAGTGATCAAATGTATTTAAAAATGGTAACAAAAATTTATGTCAAGTTTATACATGCAAGTACTTTATCAATGTTCTAGACCTCCATTCTCTAGAGATATCCTATGACCTGAACGAGAAAGGCTAAAAGAAGAAGGGATGGAGATTAAATAAACATGTAATTAAGGAGCCAAAAATGTTAACACGCGCAAATGTGCAATTAAATGCTTTTTGAACAACAGAAACTTTCCATAGAGCTAAAAAACTGTTTGGTTTCAAAGATGATATTAAAATTTAGAGTAATAACGTATATCTCAAGAAAATTCCACCTGATACACAAATGGAAATTATAATCACATAAGCACAATATTCAATTTTAGTAGTCAGTCATATGTTAATCTAATCTACCAGTATATAGAGGTGGAAAACTAGGTAAATGGTTGATGGATCCTAAATCTCTGGCTTTTAAAATGAGTATAGGTTACAAATTAGCATACTCATCTACCAATTATTTACCTGTTTTGCTGCTTCTACACGTAACAAAATTCATTGGACACACATTAGCTTTAAATCCATTTAAAACCTCTGTTTCAACGTGTGAAAGTGCACAGCAAGTTTTAATTACCTAACACCAACATAGAAATAAACATGGCATTAGAAACTTACCTACTGATCAACAAAACAGGCAGCTCACATAACTGGTTGGAGCCTTAATGTTGATGAGAACAACTAGCTAGAATTTTGTCACATTCATACCAAGGCTCAAATTGTCATAACAAGAGGAAAAGATTAAACTCCATAGCATTTCTAGGCAAGTTTACATGATAAGTTTCTAACACTGGCTTAACATTCATGATTTTATAGCATGACTCTGCATCCAGATAGCTTTATTCTTCACAGGTTAAAAAAATCTGTTTTTAAAACAGTTCAGAAAGAAAAGCTTGAAATAACGTAAACACTTCTTTCAAGTAAAGCACGCAATTTATGAAAATTAAAAAATGCCAAAAATAATAAGTTTAGTATTATAGTAATCAAACTGCAATTAGAACAACTAATTCAGTACCCAATACCGAATATACTCCCTATGTCCCATTATGTAACACTAACACTATTTTGGGGAGTCAAACAGTTCTTTGACTAATTAGCTAAACTATGTCGTAATACCTTGAATTATTAACTATGCTGATGTATGGTCCTTTCCACATAGTTTTCAAATACGTAAATTTTATTTTTAAAAAACTTGAAATATCTATGCCGAAATCCACATTGAAAATTAGGTGCTCTGACTCTCGTACTCCAAACCCCTTCACAATAAAACAGGACGAAGGCAGTACAATAATGTCGATATCAATCCAACTTCTCAAACATGGTAGTCAAAGAATTGATTGTTTCTCGTTCGGATTACTTTGCACATCATTATTTGAGGTGCACAGTTCTTTAAAGTGCATAACTTCACCACGACACGGTAACACCTCGCGTTGTATCGCTTCATTGCTTTGACCGACAAAGCGATAGCTTTTAATAACACTGATTGAGCTTGTCTTAACTTATAAACTTATCAGTATGGGTTTTAAGTTCCAAAACTAGCAAAAATGCAGGACGACAAAGATGGTAAATTGCTTGTTGCTTTTTAATCCTCATTCTCGTATATGTTGGCTTGGTTCACTCCATTTATTGAAGTATGGATCCTGAAACTACCGGTTGACGGTTATATCTACCATATCTTCACTAATCATATGGAATTACTGTTCTAGGAACCACCTATTAATTTTTGAAAATGGAGAACATCACCACCCATATTTCTGAAGAAAAATGTTATGGAGTGGAAGATGATCCACATCCTCTCCGTGACTTTCGCCAACTTGCTTATTCAGTTAGGAGACTTGTGATTATTTTTTCTTTGCTTCATATTCTCTTTCCTTAACTCGTTCAGCATGATGATGTGACTTTTTCCGAGAGCCATCCATATTGACTGCATCCATGCTTCATGCTTATCACCTCCTACAAAAGAGACGTTCTCCTCACATGTGGATCTCCACAACCATTTCCCAGGAGAGCTCGATAAAAAATAGTTAGCCTCGCTCTCAAATAGTAAGAGTAAATATTAATTAAAGAAAGGATACATCTTAGCATTCCAACATTCTCTAGAACACCGACTTCTAAATCATGTCAATCTGAATCCATAAGGAAATCCCTAACTGAATAAAAACTGAATTTTCATGTTTATTTTTATTTGCATTACACTAGAGTTGTAAATTCAATCGAGCCTGGCCAAGTTTTGATTGTCGAACTAGACTGTGTTAATATACAAGTTGAGATCGGCTCAAATACTAAATGAGCTCTAAACCGTGCTCAAACTCGACCAGTAGAAGTTTAACAAGCCCCAAGCTCGAGCTCATCTTTGCCTAGATATCTAAAAAGGCTCATAAGATTTTCTGCTTGAGTTTTATTATATACTTAATAGAAATTTATTAAGAATATAACACATCTACATTAGAGAATCAAAATAGGTGGTATTAAGATATCTTTATATTAATAGAAGAATCTATTTGGAGTAGAAAAAAGTTATTTCTTTTTGAACTCAAAGAAAGACTTTTATTAAACTGAATTAGTAACTAAGAAGCTTACAACAAAACTAGTAGCATACTCCCAATAGAAATTGCAGGAAAGTATCTAACACGATTTTTATTTAAATATTTAGACAATAATATGCTTCCTCTGTGTCAAAAAGAATAAAACTATTACGAGCACGAGCATGAAAATAACAGCTGAACAGCATACTTTTCCCAGGCATTCATGTATTAAGAAGAACAAAGATATCAATTTCTGCAAAACATATTTACATCTTATACTCTCTAAATTCATATTAAACGCAAGGGCACAACGAGCATAGAAATAAATAAATAAATAAACACAAAAATCTATATGATCCACAATAAGAACCAAACCAAAAACATACTTGTTCACAGCATCATTGTAATTGTGCCCTTCCAATAACGAAATCGGATTCACACCTGCTATCCGACCCGGAAGTATCAACGGCTGCAGCAGGCAGCAGTTTTCTCCCATCAGAGAATACAGGAATTGATGTAAACGCTAAACAAAACCGGCGAGCCTCTAACCCGGGAAGAGCGGTCCAGATGAACCGGTTGTTCAACTTAGCCCGAAGTTGAAGTCTACATTTTTTATGGCGAATAAGCCGCATTATAAGTCGTATTCAACAACAATAGGAATATATATATATATATATATATATAAAAACTGCCGTTCGACATGTACAAGTAAAATCAACGGGTTTAAGTATAACACTCCCAAAACCCGGTAGTCACAAGCCACAAGCTCTAAGGAATGTACTAACTGTCTCTATACATCAACATCTAAGAAAAATAAAGAAGAACAATATAATAAGGATAGAGGGGGGACTCCGAGGTCTGCGGACGCTGGGAGATGTACCTTGAAGTCTCCAAGCAGCATCACACACTCTACTAATATCGGGGCTGGTAGGATGTACCTGGGTCTGCACAAAAACATATGCGGAAGCGTAGCATGAGTACACCACAACAGTACCCAATAAGTGTCAAGCCTAACCTCGGTAGAGTAGTGACGAGGTCAGGTCAGGGCCCTACTGGAATATAAGAAATAAGGCAGAAGGTGAAATGATAAAAAGGAATGGCAGGTAAATGAAATGGTAAGAATGTATGGAACGACAACAGCTCAGGAAAAGCAGGAAGACAATTACAACACGCAAGGAAAAGAACATCTTACAAGTTAATGAACAACAACAACAACAAACAACAAAAGAAAAGAGAAAATCAATAGGGGCGCTCCCGAGGTACCGCCTCGTAGTCCCAAAAGTAAATATCTCACAACGGCACGGCAGGAACCTCGTGCTACCAACACTTCGTACGGAAGAAACCTCGTGCCAAATCACACTCCGCGCGGAAGAAACCTTGTGCCAATAACACACCCGCACGGAAGAAACCTCGTGCCAATAACACACCGCACGGAAGAAACCTCGTGCCAATATCACTCTGCACGGAAGAAATCTCGTGCCAATATCACTCTGCACGGAAGAAATCTCGTGCCAATATCATTCCGCACGGAAGAAACCTCATGCAGTATCACTCCGCACGGAAGAAACCTCATGCCACAACCAAACAATCATCACATCAAGAATCATGAAATTCAACACGTAATAAAGAAAACAATGATAATACAAACAAGAAAATCCTACCGTTAAAGAACAAATACGGAATTAAGGAAAACAAGTAATTCAACTAAGCATGTTGTAGAAATTGCAATTAAGACATAAGACATGTAGACATGTGCAATTTAGCTAAACATGATGGCTACACGTGCTTGAATAACTCAATTAAGGCATAGAAAGGTCACTGCTTAGCAAAAATCAAAATTTCAATATTTAGCCCGTGTATGCACTCGTCACCTCGCGTACACGGCACTCAAACATCACCAATCGTCACAATAGTACCAATCCTAAGGGGAATTCTCCCACACAAGGTTAGACAAGTCACTTACCTCAAACCAAGCTCAATCAGTCAGTAAGAATGCCTTTCCCTCGACTTTCCAACTCCGAATGACCCAAATCTAGCCAAAAGCAATTACATACTATAAATATAACTATAAGAAACTAATTTAGTTAATGAAATCAAAACTTTAACAAGAAATTAGAAAATCGCTCCAAAAAGTCGACCCAGGCCAATGTCTCAGAATCGGGTAAAAGTCACAAAATCCGAATACCCGTTCAACCACGAGTTCATCCATACCAAAATTACTCAAATCTGATACCAAATCGCCACTCCAACCCCCAAATTAAACTCTCTAAATTCCTAGCCTCAAACTCCCAAATTCCACCTTAAACACACACAAACTAGGTGGAAAATTCAATGGGCAAACAAGATAATTGATAAAAATGATCACAAGTACCTTACCTCAAGAAACCCCTCGAAAATCCTTTCAAAAATCGCCTTAGACCGAGTTCGCAAAGTCCAAAATGAGAGAAATCACGAAACCCTTCGGTTTTTAACATTGCTCAGGCTTTTTGCTTCTGTGGCTCACTAAGCCACTTCTGCAGTTAATCACGCTTCTGCGGAATTCAGTCCGCTTCTGCTGACACGCTTCTGCGAGCAGCTGTCCATTTCTGCGAAGCTGCCTCACCAAGTGCCCTTGCGCTTCTGCGAACAAACTCCCGCAGGTGCGACCCGCTTCTATGGTCCACCTGCCCGCTTCTGCAATCACAGCCCCAACCCACGCCTGGACGCATCTTCGATGGACAACTCACTTCTGCGAGCTCGCACCTGCGATGAGACTTCTGCATATGCGATTACACTAGCAGCTTCTAACTTCAGCAATTCTCTAAGTTTAATTCCAAATCTGTTAACCACCCGCAATCAACCCGAGGCCCCCGGGACCTCAACCAAATATACCAACAAGTCCTAAAACACAATACGAACTTAGTCGAGTCCTCAAATCGCATCAAACAACATCAAAAACACGAATCGCACTCCAATTCAAGCTTAATGAACTACGTAAATTCCAACTTCCACAAACAATGCCGAAACATATCAAATCACGTCCGATTAACCTCAAGTTTTGGACATGAGTTACATTTGACATTACGGACCTACTCCAGCTTCTGGAGTCGAAATCCGACCTCGATATCAAAAAAGTCCACTCCCGGTCAAACTTCCCAAAAATCTCCAAATTTCCAACTTTCGCCAAAGAATTGACCTACGAACCTCCAAATCCACATCTGGATGCACTCCTACATCCAAAATCACCATACAAAGCTATTGGAACCGACGAAACTCCATTCTGGAGTCGTCATCACACAAGTCAATATCCGGTCAACCATTTCAACTTAAACTTCAAAGTTAGGGACCATGTGTCCCATTCTAATCCAAAACTCTCCCGAACCCGACACCAAGCACCTCGGCAAGTCAAGTAAGCATAAAACGAAATAGAGGAAGCAATAAATAGGGGATCGGGGCTAATACTCTCAAAATGATCGGCCGGGTCGTTACATCCTTCCTCTCTTAAAACAATCGTTCATCCTTGAACGAGTATAGAGACATACCTGAAGCGGTGAAAAGATGAGGATAATGGTTGTGCATATCATGATCGTTCTCCCAGGTCGCCTCCTCGATCGGCTGACCCCTCCACCGAACCTTCACTGAAGCAATGTTCTTCGACCTCAACTTTCAAACCTTCCCGTCCAAAATCGCCACCGGCTCCTCAACATAAGATAAATCCTTGTCCAACTGGACCGAGCTAAAATCTAACACATGAGATGGATTGTCGTGGTACTTCCGTAGCATAGAAACGTGGAATACTGGATGAACTACAACTAGGCTAGGGCGTAGTGCAAGTCTGTAAGCCACTTATCCAATGCTCTCAAGAATCTCAAAAGGCCCGATATACCTAGGGCTCAACTTGCCCTTCTTCCCGAACCTCATAACACCTTTCATGGGCGAAAGCCGGAGTAAGACTCGTTCCCCAACCATGAATGCCGCATCGCGAACCTTCCGATCCGCATAACTCTTCTGTCTGGAATGGGCTATACGAAGTCAGTCCTGAATCACCTTAACCTTGTCCAAAGCATCCTGAACCAAGTTTGAACCCAATAGTCTAGCCTCGCCCAGCTCAAACCAACCCACTGGAGACCGACACCGTCTACCTTACAAAGCCTCATACGGGGCCATTTGAATGTTCGACTGATAGCTGTTGTTATAGGCAAACTCCACAAGTGGCAAGAACTGATACCAAGAACCCCCAAACTCCATCACACATACACGGAGCATGTCTTCCAATATCTGAATAGTGCGTTCGGACTGTCCGTCTGTCTGAGGGTGAAATGATGTGCTCAACTCAACCCAAGTACTCATGATGTACGACCCTCCAGAACCGCGATGTAAACTACGTAACGTGGTCCGAGATGATAGATACCGGCATGCCATGAAGCCTGACAATCTCGCGAATATAAACTCGGGCCAGCTGCTCGGAAGAATAAGTAGTCATCACTAGAATGAAATGAGCTGACTTGGTCAACCTATCCACAAGCACCCAAATTGCTTCAAACTTCCTCTGAGTCAGTGGCATCCCAATAACAAAATCCATAGTAATCCGCTCCCATTTCCACTCTAGAATAGCTTCTGAAGCAATCCACCTGGTCGTTGATGTTCATACTTCACCTGCTAACAATTTAGACACCGAACTACATATTCTACTTTGTCCTTATTTATTATCCTCCACCAATAATGTTGCCCCAAGTATTGATACATCTTCGCGGCACTCGGGTGAATGGAGTACCGCAAACTGTGAGTCTCCCGGAGAATCATTTCATGCAAACCATCTACATTGGGCACACATAGCTTGCCCTGCATCCTCAATGCACCGTCATCTCCAATAGTGAACTCCTTGGCATCACCGTGTTGAACCGTGTCCTTAAGGACAAGCAGATAGGGGTCTTCATACTGACGCTCCCTGATACGATCATAAAGAGAAGACTGAGAAACCACATAAGCCAAAACTCGCCTTGGCTCAGACACGTCTAATTCTACAAACTGGTTGGCCAAGACCTGAACATCCAATGACAGTGGCCTCTCTGTTGCTGGTAGATATGCTAAGCTGCCCAAACTCTCCGCCCTATGACTCAAGGCATTGGCCACCACATTGGCCTTCCCGGGATGATATATAATAGTGATATCATAGTCCTTAAGCAGCTCTAACCAACTCTGCTGATGCAAGTTAAGAATCCTTGTGTTTGAACAGGTGCTGAAGAATCCGGTGATCGGTATAGATCTCACAAGGGACACCGTACAAATAGTGCTGCCAAATCTTCAAGGCATGAATAATAGCTGCTAACTCAAGGTCGTGGACAGGATAGTTTTTCTCATGCACCTTTAGTTTTCTAGACGCGTATCCAATCACCCTACCATCCTGCATCAACACCGCACTGAGACCTATACACGACGCATCACAATATACAGTATAAGACCCTAAATCTGTAGGCAACACCAATACTGGGGCTGTGATCAAAGCAGTCTTGGAGTTTTTGAAAGCTCTCCTCACACTCCTCTGTCCACCTGAATGGAGCACCCTTCTGGGTTAGCCTGGTCATAGGTGCTGCAATAGATGAGAAACCCGCTACAAATCGATGGTAATACCCTGCCA